TCCCCCTGCAGACCCCTCGCCGCGTCGCTGCTTGGCGTCGCCTGCGTCCGGCCGGACCCGCAGCGGGGCTGCCCTCGGGAGCTGGTCGTCACCCTCGTCATGCTGGGTTCTGTGTCTCGTTGCGTTTGCCTTTGAGTGCCTTACAAAACACACAGATGTGACAGAGGGACCCCGCACTCGGGTCTCGAACGCGAAGTTTCTAACGCAGAGCTGGCTCTGAACGCTCACCAAGTAGTGTTCCTGTTCCTTGGGACAGGCTTCACGCAGAGAGGCAGAGTATCAGTTACGGGAGTGGGTTTGCTCAGCTGTGCGTTGGAAGCTTTTGCTCAATCGTTTTTAAAACAAGGTGTGAAGAAGGTAAGTCTATTTATTGCTTGAATTTCTTCCTAGAATTATATTCTAAAATTTTTCAAATTGCCAGATCTTCTAGGCTCAGAATCAAAACGGTGTTTCAAGTCTGTATTCTTTACATCTTTTAGCTGTTGAAAAAATATATGACCTTTTCTTTTGTCTACAGAGAATAAGCAGAACAAAAATGGATGTAGTTTTATTATGGTAATAGTTTTATTTCAAATACATTTGAAAACACAGCATGTATGACTGTATCAGTTTCTGTAATTCATTCTTATTCCTGATTTCCCCCAGGCATGCAAGCAGTTCTTCTTCCTTATGCCTCATTGTACCAGCTAATACTATAATAATAATTTGGAGTTCTATAGCACCTTTACGCTGAAATAGTCAAAAGTAGTCAACATGAATTTATATCTTGTCACACATTTTTGTCCAGAAGTGTTAGATATTTTTTTGGCAGCTGGATGTATTTACAAGAGCCGCAGTCAGTCTCCCTGTAGCGGTTCTGTGTACTTCGGTAGTTCTGTCTTTCGGTAAGAATTACAGCAGCAGGTACAAGCCATCCAGCTATCCAGCAGAGCATCCCGGGGGAGCGAGTGCTCGAAGGCGCTGCGTTCCCGGGAGTCGTGGCGTGTTGATGAACTCGGTTGAACGGCGACGTCTCCCGAAGCGCTCGCTGGGAAACGCCGTTGCGTGGAGGCCGTGTGCTCCGGAAGTTTGTGCCGTGCAGAGATTGGGGGTTCAGCTTGTGCTGTGCGGGCTGTTCAGAATTTACACCTGCTGAAAAAGGAGCAAGAAGGAGAAGGAATTAATATTTGATTAAACCTTTTTAGCCCCCACCCTTTTCTTTCTTCCCTCCCCCTGTTTCTGTATCTTGTTTCAGATGAATGAAGGCATACGTGTGCGCCTGGAAACATGGCATTTACACGGCTCAGCTCAAGAACCTATGAAATGTACTGCAAGACCAGGATGAACCTGTATTTACTGTTATTTATCTTTTTTTAGTTATCTAGTGGAGAAATCTGTTTTTCAGATGAACTTAGATGTCCGTGGACAGAGAGATCATGCCTTATGCCATTCAGTGCCCGCCGTCCCCTGGGAGGCTCTGCCAGCAGCCCCCACCTCTCGCTGTGCTGGGGTTGGAGTCTGTGCCCCGAGAGCTGCGGGTGGAAGCGTGTTTCAAATGGCACGGCCGTTTATTCGTTTGCTTATTCTTGAGAATGATAAGGTCTTTTTGTTGTGGCTTTCAAAGGAAACAAAAAGACAGAAGCAGACAGCGCTGCTGGTGTAAGCAATGGCCATGAGCAGTGGAACGCGTCTTGCGGCTCCCGGCAGTGCAGAGCTGGCGGATGAAACACGCTGGCTTACAGCATCTCCGCGTTAGAAGTCATCCTTAGTGACCCCTGAAGTCAGCCTTGTGTGTGGGAGTTTTTACAATTGGTTTAAAAAGGGGCCTGACCAGTTTGCACGTGTCTAAGTTGTGCTGGTCCCTGCAGTGTGAAGCAGTGCAGATGACAGAGCAATGAGCGGTGTGAGGGCCCCGGAATAAAGCAGCGTCTGTAGCGAGAGCGTTTTGTTGTGTTGGTGGGTGCTTTGTCTGGGGCCTCTTAAACATTGCAACGTTTCGGTCATTTTCACTTTTTGGTTTCTTTTTTAGATTTCTTTTGCTTGACTTGAATATGTAAGAAATGGAAATTAGAGGCTTGATGTAGTGTTTGTTAAATAATGGAGCTGAGCTCAAATAACAAATATTTAACTGAAAAATGTTTTGTCGTGGTTACAAAAGAAATGAAAGGCATTAGGTATTCTTTTCAGAGACAGCATAAAATTTTCTGCCTAGTCTGTTAAAATGCTACCCTGCTTTTCTCCTGGCGATGGAAGTGAGGTGTGCGCTGTAACGTGCATTGCCTTCATCGCCTTCAGACAGGCCACTTGTGCTTGTGGTCACCGGGCTGCGGTGACGGTCATCGGGCTGTGGTGGCAGAGTGGTCGTGGGGCTGCGGTGACGGAGTGGTTGTGGGGCTGTGGTGGTGGTCATCGGGCTGTGGTGGCAGAGTGGTCGTGGGGCTGCGGTGACGGAGTGGTCGTGGGGCTGCGGTGATGGAGTGGTCGTGGGGCTGCGGTTACGGAGTGGTCGTGGGGCTGTGCTGTGGCCTGGCCCCCCGAGCAGCTCCGCAGCCGTGGAGGGGCAGGGTTCAAGGGGTAGGCAGTGCGGGTTCTGCATTTCAAGTGCATCGTTGGACTCCACGCAGTGTAAATTTAGTTCCTTTAAGCCTGACCTCGTGGGGCTGAGATTTAAGTGTTTGAACTTTAGTTGAAAGGAGTATATTGATTAGGCTTTGATTTAGTTGTTCCTTGCTGGAAAGATACCGGGTAATGACTTGTACCTGCCCTTTCGTATTTTATTCATTTAATGGAGTCCCCTCTCATTCCCCTTGTCTTCCTCCACACCATTTTGCCTAAAAGTCTGCGGTGCTATGAGAAGTAGAAGTAAAAGCAGTTGTCACACTGTGAACATAATTGATTCAATAAGTAACATTTTAAAATTCCCTAGGCAAACCTCGGAGTCTTCACTTAAGTCAATTAGTGCTTTATTCTGTAAACAGTGGCATGTCTAAGTTAGACTGATAGAGGAAGGCAGTCAGCTTATTGCCTTCTACAAAGAATAGGCAGGTAAGATGAACTGTTTTTCATAGATGTAAAATAACTTGTCCAGTGTTTTTGTAGAGATGTGAAAAGAAATTCTCTTGACCTATTTGTTGAAGTTAATTGTCCTTTTTTCCTTCTTTCGCGGTGACTCAAGCTGAGAAATCCCTTTTCTTTTATCTTGACAAACAGAGAGCACACTAGGGCAAGCCTGAGCCCCACACAGGTTATAGCTGAGCTCCAAGCTTGCTTCAGTCCGCAAGATCTGGCCAGACGTTAGAGGCAGGGTTGGCAGATTATTGCAGTGCCAGCACACAGAGCCCGAAAGCGGAGGAGGAAGGGATGCTTTAGGTTTCTTTATCTAGAGCGAGTGGGTTTTCCTGTTCACCAAATACAAAGCTTCTTCTGTCTCGCTTTGTACTGAATCTTGAACTGAAATTCATTCCACAGTTGCGGAGCGTCTGTCTGTGGAGCGGCCTGCGGCCCCGTGCTCGTGGGGAGCGTCCCCCGGTCCCCGCCAGCCGCCCCGCTGGGGATGGTGCCGGGGGCTGTGCCTGCAGTGCACCCCCAAACCAGCAGCACCTGAGATGCACCCCGTGCTCTGCTCTCACAGCAGTGTTTGGTGCTTCCTCCTTCCTGCGCAGATCAGCCCCGGGGAAGAGATAATCATCTCCGTGGTCCTCTGATGGCATCGTTTGCTTCATTTCAGCATTGCTTTCCTCAATTAGAGAAATAATTGTATGGGCTTCCATGGCGAGTGTTCGTCCTCGCACACCCAGCTGCTTGCAAAGGACAGGAGCGATGGTATTTCCTTTTTAAAGAGGGATAGACCACGGTGCACGGGGTGAAGCGTCTCGGTCCAAGCAAAGCAGTGGCAGCACTGGGGTAAAACGTGTGACCTGGTCAAGTGCCCTGGCTTTGCGCAGCCTTGGCTTGGAAGAGCTTGCAGGCTGCGGAGGGTCCTCTGTCCACCCGGCCCCCCGAGCTGCCTGTGCTGTAGGGGGCCCTTGGGCCTCCGGGCGGGGGGCAGAACCCCACTGAGTCAGTGCGGGACCATAAAATGCAGTTTTTCTTTTTTTAAGGCCTTACTGGTCTGTTGTGGGGTACCCTTTCTGGTGTATGAAACCCGCAAGTTGTGTGTAAAACTGGCATTTATTTGTGCTTTTTTCCAGGGTATTAAAATAATGGAGACACTTCTTCAGGAGCAGGGTGGGTGATCGTGCTCTTAATGAGCAGCTGTAAGTGCAACATCTGCCTACAGATACCCAAAAATCGGTCAGAGGTTGTGATACCTGCTGCACACTGTCCTCCTTGCAGTTCTACAAGCGAATGGGGTTTTTTGGCCATTATAAATGGCATGCAGCTTTTGAGGCATTTTTAGGAAAAATGATCTACTGCAGTGTTAGGCTTCATACTATTGCAGAGTCTCTGCATGGTGCCTTGGTTCAGATGACTTGTGTGCCCTGCGTCCCATCCTCCACTCTCTGTCCATAGATCACGGGTGCACTAGTCTTAGTAAAGGAAGACATTGGTTCTATCTAAGGATTTTTAGTCAAATCCACTATCTTCAGGGGTTATCTGTGGAGGGAAGGTTTGGTCAGCTCTTAAATTAGCTTCAGAACAGGAGCAAATGGCTATTGATTACTTCCTAATAAGTGTTCTTCTAAAACCTATTCTCTCTGCTTTTGCAGGAGAAAGTGAGTTTGCGTAGAGTTTCCTCCTTGGAACCCCATATCTGTATTGCCATCGGAATTCCATGGCTGTTGTCTGAACTTTACTGGTACCCTTTTATTGAGGAAAGAGCATCTAATATGCACAGCTGGAAGAAAAGAAGACCACAGACTGCAGATCTTTTACAAAAGCTTAAGGAATCGTACTGCTTAAGGGAACGTCGATCACGAAAATCATGGAGGAACAAGCGTGGGCTTGGAGCCAGCACCGCCCCGAGCGGGGTTCCCTTCTCGGCTCGCTCGGCGGGGCAGAGGCTTCGCTCCGCAGAGCTGCAGCTCGGCTCTGCCAGGGCTGCTGTTCCCGCCGGAGCCGCTCGTTGCTTCAGTGCTGATTGCTGTCTTGGAAATATTTGGTTGTTGTACCCCTGCCAGCATGGTTATTTTCAGCTGTAAAGATGTGCCTCAGTACCAATTTTGCTTATGTTTGAATTCTTTCAAAAAGTATTTCTGTCGTGTTGCTTTGGAATAGAGGAAGAAGAAACCTGGAGGGAAATTACCAAGTGCAAGTGAGGTTCCTGACAAAGAGTGTCTCGTACTGTTCCCCTCCGTTTGATCCACACACCGCATCGGGATAGTTTTATCTGAAGCTTTTCGTTGAGAATTCAGAGAAGCACGAACCGTCTGCGGTGCCCTGCACGGAGTCAGGGTGATGCCACACCGCACAAGTGGCCGCAGCGAAGTCAGCGTTTGTTCGCTGCGGAGGGCTGAACCGGTTACCTGGTTGCCCTACAGCGAGACGATCAGCCGTGCGTTTTTCAGAGTGGGTGGTGTTTTTTTTTCTCAAATCTGATGTAAGCCCTCGGTGGG